CTCTTGAAAGACGACAAAGTGCCGAAGGACCTGTATTTGCCGCGGTTGTGCACGCAGATCAGGCGGTTCCACGATCTCTCGGTCCGTGCGGACGTCATCGTCTTCTACTTCGTCGCGCTGCCGCTTGTGTGTGTGTATACCAGCGCTCGAAAAAGAATGTCCGCTCAAGGTCGCTAGAGCTTCCAGACACGCTCGCTACGAGCTTCGTACGCGACGCACGGACTCAAAACCTGGCGATCACGGCGCGGTATGCTGCGATTCTAGCTCGTATCGATGAGAAGCCTACGAACGAGGCAGAGCTGGCCAGACTAACGCAGTTTGTAGGCGAGAGCAAGACCACGATCGCTGGCATCCACGTCCGAGTCGACGCGCTGACCGAGCTCTCGCATAAGCTCTCGACCGAGGATTTCACGCTCGCCCACTCGACGAAAGAATGTCCGCTCAAAGTCGCGCACGTTGCGGATCTGTGACTCGGTAGGATAAAGTGCGTGTGATGGATCGGCTGGCGCTTGAGAAAGAGGCGTTCGAGCTGCATTTGGAGAGTTTTGAAGGCGACGTGCAGGCCTGCACGCGGTACGGCAAAGTGGAGCACACGGAAAAGTGCATGAGCTCGCAGGCACGCTGTTTGGCATGCTGCAGGACGCGCGAGCGAAGGCGCACGACGTCAATGCTCGCGAGACTGGTTTCGGCCTCCCACCAACGGAGTACACGTCGTTACTGCTCAAGCTGGAAGGAGACTTCGTTTGTACTACATGCTGTGGACGAAAAGCTCCGCGTTCCATTCCAGGTGCCAGACGTGGCTCAACGGGTCGTTCTTGGAGCTCAAAGGGGGAGCGAGCTTCGATCGCTCCCGTTTCCGCTGAAGTCGCGCTGATACTACGAGAGCGCACGGAAGAGTTCATGGCGTACTTGCCGGTAATCAAATAGCTGGCTAGTCTGGCATTGCAAGCTCAGCATTGGGAGAAACTCCGTCATACAATTGACTTTAAGGAGTAGGAAGAGGAGCTAACGCTGCAGCTTCTACCGGGTCGTGGTATTACGCAGCACTTGGATATGATTCAAAACAGGAGAACCCGTCGCACAGAAGGAGTATTCGCTGCAGAAGAACTTGAGCGCGATGATTGCTGAGTGGGGGAAGGTGGAGTTTCAGACTGGGCCTTACCGGTCGACTGGTACGTGCCTGCTGCGGCTGCGCAGTACAGACGACATTGTAGCCTTACTGGATGGCCACTTATTCAAGACGCAAACAATGCGTGGCTCTTCGTACATCAAGTTTATCGAGATAGAGTACAATGCGTGGCAGAAGAAGCTGCAGTATTATCAGCAATTGCTGGATGAGTGAATGGCCTGTCAACATACATGGACGTAACTTGAAGCCATCTTCAGCTCCGAGGACACTATCGGAAATATGCCCACCGAGGCGCGTCCCTTTACCAGTGTTAACGCATTCTGACCATGAAAGACGCTGTAGCCGAGTCCACCTTTCTTACGGCTATCGCTATTGATAAGCTCCTTGCCAAGTTCCAGCGCGCTCACGAGAAGCTCGACAAATTCCAGAAGGGATTGAACGATTACCTCGAGATGAAGCGGCTGCTCATCCCTCAGTTCGTCTTCCTCTCGAACGATGAGCTCCTTGATTACCCGACGTCTCGTTCGTCAGGATGTGCGGCTGCAGGAAAGTTAACAATACCAGTCTGCACTGGCTTAGCCCGGTCGTTAGACCTGTTGTCGTGCTGCGCTGGCAATCGAAAATGCGGGTGAGTTCATTATGGCGTCATGAGTGGCGCTCGCCAAGTGTATCGCGAAAGATATCGTGCAAGATGCTGCGGCGTTCGAGTACGCGAAGGCGCTGTTGAGGCAAAAATCTGTTGGTGTTACGGGATTTGGCTGCGCTGCGGAGGTTGAGGATGCTGGTAGGGTTTGGGACCTCACAGCGGAGTCCGAGCCAGTGACGTTGCGGAGGTTCGTTAGACTGGTCTGTGTTGGTGTTGCAGCGGTTCCTTGAGAAGCTGCAGCAGCTTCCGAATCGATAGCGCTGCAGTGGCACGGTATGGTTGGGTGGTATAAAACTGTTGATGATAAACCTGCTAGTACAATTGAAAGCGAGCTTATGAATGAACTTAATCTGCATCTTGCTTGGAAGTGATAGTTTGGATACCGGAGTTATGGATTTGTTGGCTTAGGCCCGTGTCTTGAATGGCTTGTTCTGGGTGGCAGCGCCACACACAAGATTGAGCGTCTCTCAAATGCTTGACGAAGCAGAAAATACATTTCGGTAGTGATAAGCAGCAAAGCACTCGACGTGAAAGCCCCGCTGGCATCCCGTGTAGCCCCATCGAGATCGTTTCTGGAGCCCACGAATGCTACATAACAAACATTTGAGCTGGCCATCGGAGTGGAGTTTTGAGTTTGGGGTCAGGATGTGATCACTCGTGATGCTACCGACGATACCCGTCTCAGGCTTCCGTTTCTTACCGCGCAGTACACTCATGTATTCGAGCTGTTTTTAGCTAGTTGCTCGACGATGCGTCTCTTGAACTCACCCAAGGGTAATTTGCTCAAATGGGCCACCAAGCTTCATTGCTGCAGTCGCCCACCGGACGTCGCTTAGTTGTGACTGACAATTTTTACACGCGCCACGCCTTGGGGAACACGTTGCGAATTTTCACGGACGGTGAGATGCGAATGATTGGAGCTATTCGCGAAAAAAATATTGATAAACTGAGCAAGCCTGCAGTCGCAGACTCAATTACCCTTGTCAGCAATGCGCCAAGAGGTACATGGGAACTTATCGTCGTTAGAGAGTTGGAACCTGGATACCATGCACGCAAAAAGCAGTACGATAAGCACCAGCGCTCTCTCCCTAAAAGCCATTGTATTCCGGGACAAAAAGCTTGTCCTGTTCTACACGAATGACCTTCGATCAACACCAGCCGAGCTCATCGTGGGTCAGAGTGACCCCAGTGCAATTGAATGTGTTCACGGACTGCACCCCATCAAACGCTGGACCGGTGACGAAAACCTGCATCGCAAAACATTCATGGTCCCACCCGTGATAGCAGCCTACAACTTCGGTATGAATGGCGTTGACCGGGTGGACCAGTTGCGCTCCACAAATCCAACCAGACGCAAGGAGATGCGGTTGTCGATGAGCCTCTTCACCTGGGCGTTCGATCTCTGTGTTATCAACGCATTTCCCTCTTCAACGAAACGCAGATCTAAGGCATTCTGCTTCCCAATATTTATGTCTCGATTTTCGAGAGCCCGCCGAAGTGGAGTCGCGAGACTGGGAAACACCCTGGTGTAGCGGGCGTCTGGGCTAAATTACCGGACCCATTGTCCCATATAGTGTGTACGTAGAGAGGAGTCCAGGCAACCACTGCGTAGAGCCTAATGGCGCACCTATCAGGCTTGCTTGGAATAAACGACTTGGCGCGAGAGCGAGCTTTTGTGCGCACGCTGTTCTCGTCCAAGCTACTGGTACCGTAAGAAACAGAAACTTGTGCAAATCTAGTCTGAATGTGTTCCATAAGTAGTCCGACTGTGCCATAGTGGGTCTGTTCAGTCTCCCGAAGTCAGATCGAGTGGATGGAAATTTTTCACCCGCCCGCGGGTTGCTTGAAATATATTACGACTCATCGTGTTTGAATAATCGGGCTGTCCAGAGAATATCTTGTTGCCCCAGAACTCTGCAATATCGTTGAAGGGACAAATACTCATGGCCAATTCCAGACCAATATATGCATCAAATTCAGTCCCTCCTGTAATTGGTTGCCCTCTCTATCTCAGCCCTTCGTTTGTCCATCCCTGAAATCGGCCAGCAAACTTGTAAGGAATAATCCAAACAATCCAAGCTCTCCATGATCGCGGTAAGCACCACGAACACCGGCTTCTTCTACGATATGAAGTCCACTCGACTGCGTCAGCGCGCTGATGTATGCCGCAGCTGCGGAATCGACTCGGTCAGCATCGCCACAGCTCAATGTCTCTAAAGTAGCTTCCTGTCCAAGCGAGCTAGTTTCAGCTCCGTCTTCATCGGAGGTGTCCTCATCCACTGTATTGTGCAAGTCACCGATACAGCTACCAAGAATCGCCTCTTCACAGACCTCGCTGCTGTTAGATTGGTCGGCGACAGAATCGGATTGAGAACCGGACTCAACTCTAGTGAAATCGACCTCTTGGCTCTCGTTCTTCGCAGGTGGCGATTGCACTGGCGCTCTAGAGCGCTCTCTTGTTTCTGGTACGCTCAACGATCGTCGTTTGGCTGCCTCGAAGGTCTTCGTATTGTAAGATGATCGTGGTATAGACAATGCATCGGACGTTGAAGATCTCGTTCTCACTTTCGGTACAGTGGCCCCTTTCAGCAAAACGTTGGAACCTCTAACCTGGAAGTTTTTTTCTAGGTTCGAGGGAAAACACTTTCAGCATGCCACTTTTTTCTCCTCCAACCGCAAAAAAAGTCACTAAAAGTTCCAAGTAAACCTCGGTTCAGTGCCAAAGTTTTAGGGAGCGGAAGAGGTCCCTGAAACGTGGAACTTGTGAGACTGGATAGATTCTCCGTGGCACTCATTTTCACCCCCCCCTTCAGCCTGCGCATGGATAGCGGAGAGCCCGAGGCAGAGCCCCTGGGCTCTGCGGAACCTGCGTCTGTGCGAGCTCTAGAGCCTGCGATCTCTGACTTCAAGCGCAACTGGACCGACATCACGATCCTTGCTCTGGTGCGCGCGTGGCGCGCTGTGTACAGAAGTGGTCGAGCCAAGGACGAGAAGACGACGATGTTTAACGAGCGCATTTTCGTTGCTTACCAAGCTGCCGTCCCGTCGACTCAGCGTTCAAAGAAGGCAATAGAAGATAAACTCCAAGGACTTGTAGAGCTATCCATGCGAAATAGGTTACTCATCGATCCATCGAAGTAGATGCGCGAAGAGAACAACATCTTAGCCCAGTGTGAGCTGCGCTGCTTCGCGAGAATCTCCCGATCCTTTGGAGCTGCTACTTCGGCTATCACATCGAGTTCTGCTTGGTACGCTTGCTGGATGAGGTGTCTTGCTTGTCCGCCCATGCCAGCTGGAGGAGGAATCCCCTCCAAGAGAAGCATTAGCAGCAGTCCGACGTTCATGGGCCGCGACCTCTTAGAATATATAGCCAGAATGATTGTGGAGAGCACGCAGCACCACCAGGGGAAGATTTGCTGAACGCATGGGAAAAACAAAGCTTGGAACTTTTTTTTTCAGGTTCCAGGTTATATTTTTGCTGAAAGGGGCCAGTGACAGCCAGGGGTTAATAGTAGCGCTCCAAAACGAGTAGTAGTATCAATGGAACTATTGGGGGTCCGTAGACGGCGACATATTCATCCACTACAGATACCGGCGTATGGGTAGTAGTATGCGTACTACTATCGCTACTACTCTCAGTACTACTCGTTCGTCTTGCTGTCTACAGCCTTTCCAGCGTCTTGCTTCATCCTCACTATCTCATCACGATTGTGTTTGAGGAAAAGCTGCTTTTCGGATCGCCTGTGATCGGTTCTAGTGCGAAGTGGCCCCATTACAATACCTCCAGATGAAAACACTCGTTCCTGGAAAGCTGACGACGACACTTTGCCCAAGTGAATGCGTGCAAGAAGGGCAATTGAGGGGAAACGCTCTTCACCTTCTTCTCTAAACCACTCCAGAACGTCCACGTGTTTGTACAGGCCAAGCATAGACCAATACAAGCCCTTGGGTTTCCCGATATTCAAGTCCTTGTTGAGCTCGTCCTTCGTCTTGGTCGGGTTCTGGCGAGTCGCGATTTCTAACCAGTCAGGTTCCAGTTCAAGCCACTCGGCTAGCACCTTATCCGCCCTTATATTATCTTCATCCTCCGCCACTTCATCTCGTGCTTGACAACTCCGAATAGGGGCCCCGACCAGCAACTCGTCTTCGTCGTCCTAGCCGGTGGATGCTGGCGAAGAAAATGGCGAGGTTTCTTGACTCCAAATGCTGCTCCCTTGTGACCCCACGTCTTGACCCAAAGCAAATTCGCTTCTGTTTGGCCATCGTGCGAAATATGTGACGGTGCTCTTCTTTGAGGAAGTCCATAGCACCAGTATACAAAGCCTTTTCCTCTTTGCGAGCCACGTTACCTACTGCAGCAATTTTTTTAACCGCCGCCTTGGTGCGGGGGTCAAGCAGTATAGATGCTATCGATTCACGAGTTACCTTTGGAAAACGTGCTTGCAGTTGTAGAATCGTTCGCCGTAGGCATATCTTGCCTACTTCTGAGAATTGATCACGGGTCCTGAGCACCCTGCGATGAGTAGTTTCATTTTCCTCTTTAGACCGAGGTCCTTCAATGCCCATCATCTGAAACTTAAACGACTTCAACTTATTTTCTGCCAACCGACGGAAAACAACCATGAACGAGACCACCAGGTTCTCGCTCTGTGCTTCAACTAGAGCTAG